ACTTGACAAAGTCTTAATGGATCTTTAGTGATGAACACTGCTTTCTATTTTAGGATTAGGAACAGGGAAATATGAATATGTAGCCACATGTACTTTTTCATTTGAATTTACAGAGTGAATTATCCATTTTACATTTAAATGTTTATTTAATATATAAGTAACTGATGGAAAAAGGAATCCCTCTATAACCTTGATACTGGGCATGAAGGTTAGGACTTTGTACTGGCTAGGGTATTCCAGGTTATGAAGTGGTAATAGACAACCTCACAGTTCTGGTGTTCATGTCAGCAAAGGTGTGTTTCTCTCTCATGCTGCACAAAGACAAGATCCTTCAATGTCTGATCCACCCAGGGACCTGGGCTCTATGACTCAAGACTGTAAGGCTTGACAATGAAGGTAAAAACAGCCAAAAGAGAACATATGGCTTTGCTTTTAAGACACGGTTTTGTGTAGCCCAGGCTGGTTTCCAGCTCAGTATGAAGCTGAGGCTGTCCTTGAACAACTGATCCTTTTGCCTCTACCTCCCACATTCTAGGATTACAGGTACGTGTCACCATGCCCAATTTGAGTATATGACTCTTAAATGCACTTACCTATAAGCTTTTGGTTAATGCATTCTGCCTGCCCTGGCCTAGCATGAAGCAATAATGGTATGTTCTTTATGTTGCCATCTGGTGCTCACTGAGAGGAGATAATGTCTACTGCACATTTTAAAGAGCACCCTGTAGTGAGAAAAGCATACAGCCCGAGTATAAAATGTGGAGCAAGGAAAGATACTCAGAGCACAGCAAGCACTGGAGTAGGGTACCTGATTCAAGCCAAGGCAAAGAGCAACAAGCTTTCTCCAAGGAGGTGATGCTTGGCCTGAATCTTGAATGACTTGCAGTTAGCAAGAAAGTGAAGGAAAGGAGGGTGGCAGAGGGAAAGGCATATGTGTAAAAACAGTATGGAAAATTAACCTAGGGGTGTTCCTCTGAGTCAGTCAGCCATACATTCAGCCTTTGTCTTGTTTTGGTCACAGCAGCACAAAAGTAATTAATACAGGGTCTCACAGTTGCAGACTGACTTTGATAGGGCTGCATTCAGGTCAAGCCTTCCTGAGCTGGACTTGGGTGGCTCACTCAGAAGATGCTAACTGTTGATACTAGCTGTTGTTGGCAAGGAGCTCAGTTTCTGACTCAACCAGGGTATGTACATGTGGCTCACTGTGGCATGTTTCAAGGGAGACAGTATTCAAGAGAAGTAGGAAAGGTGTGACCTGTTGTGACCTAGCAATCACACATTGTCACCTTCATTGTGGTCAAAACAAGTCAAAAGGTCACCTAGATCCAAGGGAAGGGGAAGAGACCACAGCTCTCTATGTAAGATGTTTCCAAGAATTTATGAACTTGTTCTAAATCTCCTTGCACCACAGTATCTGACAAACACACCTCACTATGGAGTTGTAGAAAGTGAGTATCCAGTAAGTAGTTTTACATAATGCTTAGTCTGTCTGCTATTAGTCTTTGGGTAATGCAGTTTGGCCCCTATATTTACAAGTTCTGTTATAGTGGCAATCTCTTGTATTTATGGCCTTTTTCTTTTTTCTTTTTTGCAGCACTAGGCATTGAACTCACAGTTATTTGCTTCCTAGACAAGTGCTACACAGTTGATCCACATACTCTTTGTAATTTTGTTTTCTTTTGAGACAGAGTCTTAGGAACTTTGCCCATCTTGGCCTTGAACTTGCTTTATATCCCTGGCAGGTATTAAACTTGCTGACTTCCTGCCTCAGCCTCCTGAATAGTCAAGATTATAGATCTGTACGTGTTTTTAAAATGTTAAAGGTATAGGATACGTACAGGGGCTGGAGAGATGACTTGGCAGTTAAGAACACTGACTGCTATTGCAGAGGACCCAGGTTTGGTTCCCAGCATCCACATGGTAGCTAACAACCATCCATAACTCTAGTTCCAGGGGATCTGACACCCTCTTCTGACCTCTGCAGACACTGCATGACACAGGTGTACTTATATTCAGGCAATACACTTATACACATAAAAAATAAGAATAATAAAATATTTTTAAAAGGCATAGTACAATACATGTATACATTTTATTCCAAATGAGTCAGGAAGCTAACATTTTCTCAAAAACCATTAAAATAACAGAAAAAAAAAGCATAGAAGGGCATTTTTGTAATTGTAGAATAGGAAAACTTTTGTAAACAAGATTTAAAAGCAAGAAAAACCACAAAGGAAAAAAATTAAATATTAGATTATATGATACTTTTTAAAAGATACAATAAAGTAAAAAAATTAAACTGAGTACAAAATATTTGTGATCTAAATAACAGACACAAACCAGATAATATAAACATAAACTCATATCTCACTCTTAGGGCTTGTATGAGGCTTAAAAGTGCAGCTGGAAGATGGCTAGTGGATAAAGCAATTGCTATGCAAGTATGAAGACCAGAGTTTGGATCCCCAGGACCTATTAAAAGCTGGGCAGGGGGTTGGAGAGATGGCCTAGTGGTTAAGAGCGCTGGCTGTTGTTAAAGTGGACCTGTATTAAATTCCCAGCTCCCACTTGACGGCTAACAACCCATCTGTAACTCCAGTTCCAGGGGAATTTGACGTACTCTTCTGACCTATGCGGGCATTGCATGACACAGATGCACACGCAGACAATACGCTCATACACATACAAAATAAAAATAATAAAAATTTTTTTAAAAGCTGGGTAAGCATGGCAGCTGTCTGTAATTCTAGCACTCTGGAGGCAGATTGGGGATCTTCAGAACAAGCTAGCTAGCTAGGCAAGCTGGAATTAGTGAGCCCTGGGTTCAGCAAGAGACTGTCTCAATAAAGTAGAGAACAGTCAAGGAAGACACCCTGCAGAAACTTTGGGCCTTCACATGAATATGCAAAAATGTGTACTCACACACTTTTATCCACACATACACATAAGGAAAAATGTATAGTCTCAGTCCTGAGTGAATGTTTAAAAGAAGTCTGCACAAAGAGTTATTTTACAATGCCAGATGAGAAAGAATGGTACAAAATACAATACTGCTAAAGTTGGAGGGACATTCATACTGATTTCCTATTTATGAGTGAAAATTTGTTCAGTATTTAGGGGGAGAGTCTTAATTATTTACAAAACTCAAAGTGTGATGCCCTTTGACCTAGCATTTCCCTTGTGAACAAACCAGCCCCAATACAGAAAGATAGAGGTATGGAAATGTTGCAGCAGCAACCTTTCTCAGTAAGAATATCAGAAAACTTGACTATTCTCCACAGAGGGATGATCTCAGCTGCTGAGAAATGAGGTAGCTCAGTATATCCTGAAAGAGTCCCAAGAAGCACTGGCAGGTGGAAGGAGGGAAGCAGGCAAGGTTTGAAATGTTAGTTTTAAGGTTCAGTTTTTGTTGGAACATGATAGGGAAATGCTTAGAGAAGATAATTTTGGAAACAGGTATACCAGAAAAACTAGTGATGATCTTTGAGGGACAGTATCATTTTATACACACACACACACACACACACACACACACACACATATACACACATTAATGGCACCTGAGTTGGAGGGTGACTATATTTGTGTTAATTAGGTAGAAATCAAGAAGGAAAATGAGGAGGGACAGATAGTTGGTTGATTTACAACAGTGGGACAGAACCTGTTGTTTTCATTACTTCGCCTACATGGGGCAAAAGTGATCTCTGATGCTAAATTTTAATTTATCTTCTAGGAAACTTATGGTAGAACAAGCCCAAAGAAATGGAAAATTTTAATCTGTACCTTCTCGCTCTTTTTTGTCTTTCTTAAAAAAAATTTATTATTATTTTTATTTTATGTGTATGCATGTATTGCCTGCATTTAGGTAAGTGCACTTGTGTCATGCAATGCCCACGAAGGACAGAGAGGCTATCAGATCCCCTGGAACTGGAGTTATGGACAGTTGTTAGCTGCCATGTGGGTGCTGGGATATGAACCCAGGTCTTATGCAAAAACAGCCAGTGTTCTTAAATGCTGAGCCATCAGTTCAGCCCCTCTTTTTTTTCTTTATTCTTTTTCAGAAGACAGCAGCGTGAAGGATTCCAAATGGAAATACCTTGCCTCATGATGTTTTTGTCACTTAGGGACTTAAAATTTTTTAAATAAAATTTTTATTGATTTTGTGTGTGTGCTCATAACACATGCTAAAGCTTTTGTGTAGAGATCAGAAGACAACTGGAAGAAGTTAGTTCTCTCCTGCCACCATGTGGGCCCAGAGATTTTTATTGTTACCCTCCTAAAAATCTTTATCAGGAGAAAAGTCCTCATCTGTAGAAAACCAGTTTCTTTTGTTTCTGTTGCTTTGAGATTAATAGTGTGATGTGCTGGGGTAACTAGTGGTTGATGCTTGTCTAGCATGTGCAAAACTGAGCATTGCATAACAACAGTAATAAAGGAAAAAGAAGAAAAATAAATAAATGGTTTGTGATCCTAAAGAGCTATATCTATAATGGAACCTTTTTTTTTTTTTTTTTTTTTTTTTTTTTTTTTGTCTTTTTGAGATAGGATCTTCCTGTAGCCCGAGCTGGCCTGGAACTGGCTATGTAGAAGATCAGGCTGACCTTGAACTCACAGAGATCCACCTGCCTCTGCCTCCCAAGTGCTGGGATTTAAGGCTTGCTTATAATGGAACTTATATACATGTCCTTCTTAAAGGCTGAGTGAAAAGTAGATTTGTAGAGTAGGAGTAACCATGAAAGCTGTTTGGCTTCCGTTATAAGTGTGGTTTGTCGCTATGTTTTTCCTGCTTAGAAGGTGTCTGAGAGCCATGTAACAGAGCAAGGAGTAATGTTCTCACCTGGACATCTTAGTCCAACACCCTTCGTATCTTACACTCTTAAGGAAGTTGTTTTTTACTGCGTAGATTACATGTGTTTTTCTAAGTGGTAGCTTTTATGCAACTCAATTTTATGTAATGACTTCCTTGGTTTGTTTTACCCTCCTTGCATTTCCTGCAGAAGTCCTGGAGGGGATTTGGGAGCCAAAAAGAAAAAGAAGAAACAGAAGAGAAAAAAGGAGAAGCCAAATTCTGGGGGCACCAAGTCTGACTCTGCATCTGATTCCCAGGAGATTAAAATTCAGCAGTCTTCAAAAGTGAGAGCCTGTTTCCTTGCTACTGTTGTGGTTCCTGATACAGATGAGATAGGTTTGGGCAGCATAGTGTACTTTGGGCTAGATGTCTAGCTAGTGTTTTGTTGTGATTGTGTTGAATGGCACTAGTAACTGGAGGGTATTTACAGCCTCTCTGAAACCTGACTGTGGAACCCACATAATCAAGAGGTACATACTGGACTTCTCTCTCTCTCTCTCTGTATGTGTGTGTGTGTGTGTGTGTGTGTGTGTGTGTGTGTGTGTGTGTTGTCACCTGTTTCTCTGTGTCATAGTATTTAGCTCATAGTTTAGAAGAAAGTCTCACTGGGAGTCTGTTAGGTGGGGGTATGTTTTGTTTTGGTTTAGTTTTGTTTTTTTTGGTGTTTTTGGTTTTTTTTTGGTTTGTTTTGAAGTTACACTTAATATTTGATTACTTTTAGTTCAGAAGATATTCACATTTTAATTTTTCTGGGTGTCTGTCTAATTACCTGCATAGCACAACACCATCTGGCAGCAGATTTCAGCGGGAGCAGCCATGGGTAAGTCTTCGTTGAATTGGAATCAGCCTGGTCTGCAGTGGCTGTTTCTCATGCCATTGCCAAGGGTGGGGAACACCTCCTAGCATCCTCCTTTAAGACACCCCTGTTGTTGTTGTCCAGCTGGGTCTTATGTTGGCACATAACTTACTGAACGGAGGCCTAGTTGTGCTGTAGATGTGTCTAGTGGTGCCGGTAGCAGTCACCCCCATTTGTGGAAACCCACCTCCCTGTCACACAGGAGAATATAGCCCTGGTGATGCAGGAAACCCAGAGCCAAAAGGGACAGAATTAGAAACATAACAAAAAAGATGATTTTAATAGTTGAGCTCTAAATAAACTTTCCTAGGCAAGCTAGCCCAAGACTTGAGCTTGGCCATGGCTCCATTCTTTCCCTCAGCCTATAGAACTGTCATGAAATTAAAGTGAGATCTTTTTTGTGAAGGTGTTTTGTACGATTTAAAGCACAGTGCCTATAACAGATGTTACTATCCTACAAGTTGTGTGAATTTAAGTGTTTCTCACACAGAGTTTATATTATGTCAAGTGAATAAATCTGGATAGTTTTGTGGTTGATACTTGCTTTACGTGAAAGAACCAGGAGCCTCTGGGAGTAATTGCTTCCCTCAGTTTTGTGCTGAGTGATTGTTGGGGAGAGAGCAAAGTAGAGTCTCCCTAGCATTTCTACTTGGTCTGGGGTGGTAAATATAACACTAGATATAACTTCCAAGCTAACTCAGGATACCACCAGCAGCTTACAAATTTTCCTCCCATTTCTTAATGTTGCTTCAGCAAATGAATGCATCACTTACCTGCAGTTGTGGGCAGCTCTTTGCTTCTACCATGCCATTGGCTTCCACCCATGCCTCAACCTTTAGGGATTCTAAGCACGTCCTCTGCTCCTGGCACTCATAAGGAAACTGCAGCCAATTGAGTGAGAGGAACTGTTAGCATTATCTGGTAGAGAGTTTCTCTTTTAAAAATTAGGAGCTGGGCTGGAGAGATGGCTCAGTGATTAAGAACACTGATTGTTGTTGTAGGCTGGGCATGGTGGTGCACACCTTTAATCCCAGCACTCAGGAGGCAGAGGCAGGCAGATCTCTGTGAGTTTGAGGCCAACCTGGTCTCCATAGCAAATCCAGGCCAGCTGGGGCTACAGGGAGACCCTGTCTCAAAAAGACCCAAAAAAAGGAAAAAAAAAACAAAAAACCCCAAAACACTGGTTGTTCTTGCTGAAGACCCAGGTTCAAATCCTAGCACCCACATGGCACCTAACAACTGTCCATAACTCCAGTTCCAGGGGATCCGACAGCCTCTTCTGTCCTCTGCAGGCATTGCACAACACAGGTACATTTGCCTACATGCGGACAATACACTCATACACATAACATAAAAATAGTAAAATATTAAAAAAAAAATTAGGAGCTAGCCAATGTGGTGGCACATGTCTTTAATCCCAGCACTTGGAAGGCAGACGCAGGTGGATCTCCAAGAGATCTAAGCCAGCCTAGTCTACATAGTGAGTTCCAGGCCAGCTGGGGCTATAGGGAGTCCCTATTTCAAAGAAGCGAAACAGACAAACAGAAAAATAGGAGAACTGATCAACAGTCTTTTAATGTGGGTTTCTCTTCACTACTTTTTTTTTTTTTTTTTTAACCTAAGGCTTTTTTCCCTCAAATTTATGCCAGCTGTAGATAATGCAATAACATTACAGTGAACTGCATTTAGACAATATTCTGGTCTACACTCAAGGACTAAAATTAAAATAATATTTGAGCCGGGTGTGGTGGCGCATGCCTTTAATCCCAACACTCGGGAGGCAGAGGCAGGCTGATTTCTGTGAGTTCAAGGCCAGCCTGGTCTACATAGCAAGTTCCAGGCCAGCTGGGGCTATCGGGAGACCATCTCAAAAAAGACAAAAAAAAATTTTTTTTTTTGAATATTTGTCTGGATTTATATATAGAGAGAGGGTGTGTGTGTGTGTGTGTGTGTGTGTGTGTGTGTGTTTTGCACACATGTGTACATATGGTGCTGGGATTGAACCCAGGGCCTCTGCATGCTAGGCAAGCACTGTACTACCTGAGACACACCCCCAACCCTTTCTTACAGACTTTTTGGTGGCAGAGGAATTGGACATTCTTCCCAAGGCATTCAATTTGGAAAATAACGGTCAAAGAATGTAGTTGATATTTAGTATTCCAAAGGAAGTAAATGTGGAAAGAAGGAGGAATACTTGCCTCTTCTGAGACTGTAACAGTGATCAGTAACTGGGGGCTAACACACATTCTCACCTTTCTCCTCAGGTGGTGATACTGTGGAAGGTGAATGGATAGATTTAAGAATGTATCATAAGGTGAGCGTGGTCGCGCCCGCCTGTAATCTCAACACCCAGGAGGCCTAGGCAGGAGGATTGTGATTTTGAGGGCAGCCTGTACATAGGGAAACCTTAACTTAAAAAAAAAAAAAAAAAAAGTTAGGTTAGCGTGGTGGTTGTATATGTATCCCAGCACTCAGAGGCAGAGGCAGGTGGATCTCTGTGAGATTGAGGCCAGCCTGGTCTACATAGTAAGTTTTAGGATAGCTGGGGCTACTAGGGAGACCCTGTCTCCCCCTCCAAGAAGAGGAAGAAGACTGGGGTATGGCTCACTGGTTCAGCACTTACCTTGAATTAATCCCCAGTACCTCAGAAAAAAATAGAAATAAAAAATGATTCATCATCATTTCCTTCTTTGTTACCATAGGTTTGAAAATTTGCCTATTTGCATCTGTTTTTGGAAAGTATTTAAATAGTGAGCATTGGGCTATTGTCAGAGGTGGCCATTTCAGGTTCCAGAAGGGTCAGCCAGTGACACTAAGTAGCATATGAACTCTGTGGTCTTCCTGGAGTCCCTTTAGAACTGAGATATATCTTCAAGTATTAGTAATTGAACCGTGTTGTAGCCTCAGTTCCTGTTGTAGGTCTCTTAATAGAGTGTGTTGTTGGGAGTTCAAGTGATTGTTAATTTGAAACAGACCAGACAGACAGGGCCAGGTGTGATGATACATGCTATAACAGTTTCTTCCTGAGAGACGGGGGCAGGAAGATCACAGTTTCAAGGCCAGCCTGGGAAACTTAATGAAACTGTCTCAGAAACATTTATAAAGAAAGTATGGTGATGTAGCTCAGTGGTAGAGTATTGCTTTTCTAGTATGCATGTGGCCCTGGCTTCAATTCTTAGTACCACCCCCAAAAATAAGATAGGGAGAGGAGAGAGAGAGAGAGGGAAAAAAATATGTAATTGTTAGAACAGGAAAGCATTTTGTGAATTTTTTATGTGTCATTAAGATATGGCCCTAAGATTTTTGTCTTGATTAATATGTAAGATAAATAGCGTATGGAGGTGATGGTAATAGACTTGTGCTATTAGGCTACTGAGTGGAGGCAATAAGCTGTTGGCCTGTCCTAGTTTAGACTTCATGACTTTCCTGAAACATTTCAATGTTAAGAACCCTAAAGAAAACCAGTAAATAAGGCTCACTACAAGACAAGCCTGTGTTTTTGTACTGTGACAGACAAAAGCTTCCCAGGTAAAAAGCTTTGTCCAGAGCTCAGATTTCAGACTCAAAAGTAAGCAGAAGCCCAAAGCTGTTGTTTGTAAACCACCGAAAGTCGATTGTCCCTTTCTTCATGAGTGTAGCAAATCTGAAGATCTCTTCCAACCACTTCTAAATTGCTGTGGAGAGTATTCTTTGCGACTTAATCACAATTCTTAAACTCAGTCATTTTGCATATTGAAAACAACCCAGTGATTTCTACAATCCTGTGTACTGTGTCTCATTTTGAGTGTAGTCTTAGTTTCTGTGTATTATTCTTTGAGGAATTAAAAGTGGAGAGCAAGAGCTAGGGAATCTTCTGGAGAAGATGAGGAGTGCTGGCTTTGAGAAGGAATTTGGGAGTTTTAAAATATTGCCCATTGTATAGATAATATGTCTTACCCAAAAAGGAGTCTAGTTTTCCACAATTCTCTTGGGAGAACAAGCAGTGGATGCCAGGGATCATGATTTGCAAAGGAGCTTCTCACCTTCTGTCTCAGGGTTCCTCCACAGAGGACTGTTAGTGATAGGAGGGCTGGGTATGGTCCAGCAGGAAGTAGCAGGGTTAGAGGCTTCCTTTCTTAATCATTTCCTTCTCAGCTCAGCCCTAAGTTCGCATTTCTTCCTCTTTCCCCTCCTTCCCCTCTAATTTTCTCTTGTCTGCCAAGTTTCTGTTCTAGAAGTTGTTTCCGTTGCCCCTCCATTGCTGCTGCAGAGCATTAACCCTAACAGCGCAACAGAGGCTCGTGGCTGCCTGGCTGCTGTGTGACAGTAATGCATGTCCTGCATGTCACTCTTTTTTTCCTTCTCCTCCTGAAGGAATGGTGGTGGGACCATCAGAGATGGGTGGGATCCTGAAGGGTGTTTCTATATACTTTAGCTTTTCCAAACCACTAGTGTCCCATTCAGACCACAGTACTGCAATAATCTGTGACAGTGCAGTTGTTTCATCCTAATATGTTTACATGGCCTTCAGCAGGCTTCCAGAAGGATGGACAGTGTTTAGGAGTTACAGGCTCCAAGGCAGGTACACATGCACCTGCCCTGTGTTTGCTTACAGTAGCTGCTTCCTCATGTCCTATGTCTCTGTCTCTGTTCTTCTAGAATCCCACCATCCCCATTCAGAAGCTGCAGGACATCCAGAGAGCAATGGAGCTGCTATCCGCATGCCAGGGCCCAGCCAGGAACATTGATGAGGCCTCAAAGCGCCGATACCAGTTCTGGGACACACAGCCGGTACCCAAACTAAGTAAGCTCAGTTACATTCTTTCCAAAACTAGGGTGGGAAAAGTCACTTCACTTACTTCAGTACTCTGTCATACATTCAAAATTACACAAAAGTTAATGTTTGTCTTCTTAGAGTATAACTTAGGTATTGACATTGGTTTTCAGTAACATTGATTTTAGCCTAATTCCTATCCCTATCACATCATCCAATTTCCCTATACTTGAAATATATATTGTATATATTATAATTTCCTATTATAGTTTCCTGTATGATTGTAATATATATGATATATAACTGAATACAGTGTTCTATAGTATGACCCATATATGGTATATATGCCATATAACATAGCGTATATGTAGTATAGTATACAGATTATATACACACGCACACACACATATATGTATGTGTACATATACATCTTTTCTCTTCATTCTTTGCTTTTGAGCTTCATTAAGTTGCTTTTCCTATACACTAGTTTTTAGCATTTTTAAACTCATCTGGTATTCTAAAGGACTCAGAAAAATGTCTCCACATTATCTCACTGAAATGAATTATTGTATTATTATATACTTCTTAGCAGGATTTTGAACACAACAACAATGGTGTGTTGCTTCAATAATGTTCCAGTATTTCAAAGATGTCCCTTGAAAGTGAAGGCATTTTTAGGTCTCCATTCACATAAAGAACTGCTACAGGGTCTTGTTCCTGGGGTTGTACCTGCTCCATCAAATTTTACTTAGACTTTTACACATACTGTAATCACTCCTTTCTCATTAAGGAAAAGGTGGTGTTGTAAATGTCACAAAAGTGTTCAAAAATTCATGACAGCATAAATGCCCTACTTTGTCCTAAAACTATGCCCAGTCTTTAAAATTATTATCTAGGTCCTGAATATCATATAAAGAATCAGTTGCCACCCAAAATTCAAAGCCCAGCTATGTACAGATAATGCATTTTATCAAATATAAACCAAAGAGTAATCATTTTTGGAGCATCAACATATTAGCCCTCACACACATCCACCCCAACAGCTTAAAAGAAACAAATGTCTAAGTAGGAAAGAAAGAAAGAACAAAGAAGGGCTGGGAGTGTATTAGCGATAGAGCGCTTTCTTAGAATGTGTGAGGTCCTGGAGTCTATCCCTAGTACTAAAAACAGTAAACTCTGCCTTTTTTCTTTCAGCTTCTAGAAATGTGTTTGGCCATGAAGGGATATTCTTTTCTTGAAATTTTATTTTATGTGTTTGAGTGTTTTGCTTGCATGTATGTAAATGCACCATGTCATGCACTGCCTGCAGGGGTCAGAAGAAGGGCGTCAGATTCTCCTGGAAATGGAGTTACAGATGGCTGTTAGCCACCATGTAGGTGCTGGGACTTGAACCCGGGTCCTCTGCAAGAGCAACCAGTGCTCTTAACCTCTGAGCCATCTCTCCAGCCCCATGGAGGGATATTCTTCAGAATGAATTTACAAAGCTTCTGACACCACTGAATTGTATGACCATTAGCTGAAGGACTTGCATTTATTGATCTCAGTGAACTAGGTTTAATTGGATGTGGCTCACAGATCTCTCTGCCTCACAGAAAAGAAAGCCATGTCCAGACATGTATCCTCAGAGCTCCCTTTGGGAAAGATTTCCTTGGGCTCAGCCTACTTTGCCCCTTTCTAAATCCTTGCATGATTCTCCAAGTGCTAGAGCTGTTGGTGGGCACCTCAGTATAGTCACAGGCCGTAGTAGGTGAGGAAGCTGTGCTGGTGGGGAAAATGAACTCTGGCAGAACATGCATAGGCTATTTTTATTTCCATGTGTCTGGAGAGAGGCACAATCCAGTCCAAACACACCCAAGTGCTTGGAGTTGCATGCATGGGACTGATTTGGGTATATCATGTCAGAGCCAAGCACTAAACTGTCTTCTACTGTATTGGTACAGTACTGGTACTACTGTATGGGAAGGGCTAGGGATTTGGCCATGTGGACTTCTTTGAGGAAGTCTGTGGAGACACGTGACCAAGTTAAATATCAAGCAGGAAAGGGGGTAGAGCTGGTACAAGTTGGGCACTTCTTGTAGAAAGGTTCTGCAACAAGCCCTTCAGGGCTGTTACTCCACAGATGTTGAATGTCAGGCACAGCATGAGGCACATGCCAAGAAGCAATGATGAAAAGTGGGAGAGGAGTGGCCAGACAGGGTACAGAGGAAAGGACATATTTTTGGTAGCAAAAGTTATAGTCATTAAAGATGCTGTGAGAAGATGACTTGTGAGCTTCTGAGAAATTCCTAGGGGCAGGCCACATACATAATGATCAGAGAACAAGGCCTCAGCAGGAAGGAAGGCCCTGAACTAGGGCAGACCTCCCAAGCAAAGGCCTGAGCACTGTGGTCAAGGTCCATGGAGAATGTGAGACAAGGCAGACTGCAGCCACAGGAAAGCATCTGTAGTCTGTTCCAGATTCAAGACACTTTCTGCACAGGATTAATTGGAAAAGAGAAGTTGGGGACTGGGGGTATAGCTTAAGTTTATAGAAGTGCTTGCCTAGCGTAAACAAAGCCTTGCATTTGATTCCCAGCACTGCATCAACTAAGCATGTGGTGAGTGCCTATAATCCTAATACTCAGGAGGCAGAGGCAGAAGGATCAGAAGCTCGAGGTCATCTTTGGCTTCAAAGCAAGTGTCAGGCTAGCCTGAGCTATATAAGACCCTGTCCCTCTCCTTCCTATAGTCCCCCCACCTTCCAGACTGTGATGGCATGGACTACATAGCTAGCAATAAAGATAGGGAGAAGTAGCCATTCTGGAGTAGGTAAGTTTCATAGCTCAGAGGGGTCAGAAGTCACTGTGGCCCCACACACCCCTAATTTGTGGAAATGCAGTAGAAAAAGAGGCCATATCTAAGGCTGTTGTATCAAACCTGCATCACTTAACAGTGGTGTTGTGCGTTGTATTGCAACCTAGGGCTGAGGCTGAGAAATCACCATCATTTTATAAAGTCATTCACTGGGTAACACACAATTGCTCCTTTGTGGTAACTGGTAAAATAACAGGTATTTTGTATCCCCTAACTTTCCTGTTTCAGTCCAGAGGAAATCAAAATGATAATTTAATTAATAATTATTAGAATGTGTGATTATTAACAAGGTTATATTAGTATTAATGTTATAGACATAATACAACTGCAAGATTAGTGTTACTATTATTAATTAGGTTATATGGAATCCAAGTGTCCTAAATCTGGTTTTGTTCCTGTGGCTGACCATTTGGGATTGTCAGAATGCTTTGAAACTTAATATCTTCCCTTTTTCTCTCTGTCCAGATGAAGTCATAACATCTCACGGTGCAATTGAACCAGATAAAGACAAGATACGTCAAGAACCATATTCTTTGCCACAAGGTTTCATGTGGGACACTTTAGACTTGAGTAATGCTGAAGTGGTAAGACTTTAATTCAACATTTATACTCACAAAACTTGCTTCTGATGTACTCCTGAGCACCATAGATAGAATACTTGTTTTATCTTCTAGCTGAAGGAGTTGTACACGTTGTTAAATGAGAATTATGTGGAAGATGATGATAATATGTTCCGCTTCGACTATTCGCCTGAGTTCCTGTTGTGGTAGGTCTCACTGGTCACAGGGCCCCTGAATAGGTTGTTGACTCAGGAGGTCTTGTTTTGTTTGGGTTCTTGGACACTGACTGGTGTTTGTTTCTCTTTTCTACCTTGACATTAGGGCTCTGCGTCCCCCGGGCTGGCTTCTGCAGTGGCACTGTGGGGTCCGAGTGTCTTCGAATAAAAAGTTAGTAGGTTTCATAAGTGCCATCCCAGCAAACATCCGAATTTATGACAGGTAATACATTAAAATTTGTGCCTGTCTGTCTGTGTGTATGTCCCAAATTATAATCAAACAGGGTTCTTAAAAATTACATGGTATAGGGCAGGAGTAATGACTCAGTCAGTAAACTGTTTGCTGTGCAAGCATGAAGTCCTGAATTCCGATCCTCAGTATCCGTATTAGAAGCCAGGCACTGTAATGCCTGTAATCCAGGAATTAGGGAGGTAGAGACAGGAAGATCCCTGGGAGTTGCTGGTTAGGCAGTTGAGCTGAATCTACAAGCTCCAGGCCAGGTTCAGTGAGAGGTCATGTCTCAAAAAAATAAGAATGTGGAAAGCCAATAAGGAAGACCCTCGATGTTAACTTCTGGCCTCCACACACACATCCACATGCACTCCTCACCCCCACCCCCAGACACAGAAAAAGAAAATTACTTACTGCAAAAGCCAGGTATAGTGGTACACACCTATAATCCCATCAAATCAGAGGCTAAGGCAGGAGGATCAAGAAATTTAGGCTAGTTTGTGCTGTGTAAAAAAGCCTAAAAAAAAACGAAAGGGCTGGAGATGTAGCTCAATTGTAGAGTGCTTGCCCTGGGTTCAGTTCCCACTATCAAAGTAAATAAGTAAATAATTACTGACTGTTGATAGTGGGTAAGATTTTGTGGGAGGAGCTGGGGTGTACAGGGACTCTCTTCTCAAGTTGCTATAAACCTAAAGTTCTAGAATTTAGATATATTAATTAGTTTTAAAAGAGAAGAAAGGTAAAGGAAAACTTGGACCAGAAGAGGACATTGTTGTCTGTCTATCCCTCCATCTGTTCTTCTTCTACCCTCCCTCTCCTTTTCCACCTGTCCTCCCTCCATATTTTTCTTCTACTCTGTCTCTCAATCTTGTACATGCACATACCTGTATATATTCAAACGTATTAGAATAAACAAAGCCATAAATAGGTTATTTCTGAAAAAAAGTTACTTAGCAACGTTAGAAGACGTGAAAATCTTTCTCCAGAGGATAAATGTATTATATTTTTGTTCCCAATCTCCACTCTAGAAAGTCACATATCCAACTATGAAAGCCAGATACCTAGTAAGTAATAGGTCTGTTTACCATTCAGAATAGTAGGCTGGCTGGCTTACTGATAAAGCATGTGTCCTCAAGAATACTGTGATTTAAATAAAAGACTTGTGTACCTAGAAGCAGAGTCATTACCAAGCTTTGAAGCTCTAGGAGGCTTTTGGTAGCTCAGAAAAGCATCCGGTCCAGTCAAGGCGCACGTCTCAGGAATCCTGAAAATTTGTCTCCTGTTCTAGAACATCGCCTTACCAAAGTACACTGGAGTGACCCAGGTTTTATTTGCAATAATTATATATGTTGGCAGGAAAAACAAATACAGAAACTTTTGAGGCACATACAATCCAATTTCTAAAATTTTAGTAGACTAAAGTCTTAAATTTTTAATTAGAGTAAAGAGGTGGAGGCTCCCTGGCCTAGATAGAGTTCATCGTTTTAGCAGAGGAATGTGACAGTGTTCAGTCTGAATTTGTGGAGTGCCTGCATAGTGGAGTGTTCTTGAATAGTATGTTAAGAATGGCTTCCACACTCTTCTTATTTCAAATATTCTAAAGGTGTTATTTATTTTTAGTATATTCTAACTTTCAACATATTTATTTGTCAGTGTGAAGAGGATGGTAGAAATCAACTTTCTTTGTGTTCATAAGAAATTAAGATCAAAGCGAGTAGCCCCAGTGTTAATTCGAGAAATCACTAGAAGAGTGAACCTGGAAGGAATCTTTCAGGCTGTGTATACTGCCGGAGTGGTTCTTCCTAAGCCCGTAGCCACATGCAGGTAAATAGCACCACACAGCAATCCGGAGTTTCTCCCCTTACCCTGTGTGTCTGGCCTCACTAACATCTTGCTAGAAGTATTATTCTCCTCAGGTATAATTCAAGGGATTTGAGTTTGCTGGGTATAGTATTTTGTTGCTAGTAGAAATGGAGAGCAAAATTAGAGCCAGTGAGTCTGATATTCAATATAGCCTACAGCCATTTGGTTATCAAAAATAAATTTTTAATATTTTCCTGTAACTGATGCTGAATTTCTTTCTCTGTTTCATTTGAAAGACTAGTGCTGTGTGTGTGGGGAACCTACAGTCCTGAGTCTTGAATTGTGCATCCAGTGTTGCACTATTCCTTTCCACATGTAAACTTAGTTTTCAGCAATACTTTGCAGCACTACTGAACTGCTGTGAAAATCTGATAGTATTGTGTCCATTGAAAAGTCCTGATGTGTTTGTTTGCTAAGAGAAAGAAGGCTTGAGCTCCATGTTTATGATTTCATTAACTCTAATCAAGCTTGCAAAGGTTATTCTAATGAGACGCTAATCAGGCTGTGATTGGACTAACCTACATTTAAAACATCAAAGCATTATCTCCCTCCCATATTTCTGTTGGCTCAAATTGAGTGAAATTTGATATATAGTATAAAAGATAAAATTGTAAAATTGCTATAACCTATTAAAATAGTATTCATAAATAAACAGAAAAAAGACATCCCAGATGTATTTCAATTTAGATAATTTATTATCTATTCATACTGAAATCATATAAGAAATTCAAGTTAATTTCTCAAAATGAATTTCTTTGCTGGTTTTCCTGTAATAAGGCTATTTATTTAGTCTTAGGACATATTTTCATGATCTTAAGCTTCCTGATTGCTTTACATAAAATCTTGATGCTAACTAAAAATGTACATGCTTGGGCATGATTATTGTTTGTTTTGAAGTTTCAAAATTTCTCTTTAGGGGAAGAGATGAAGCTTTAAAAACAACAAAGAAACATTACTAGGAATGAAAGACAATGAGTCCGTTTCTTATCTGTAAAATACTACACAGTTAAAGGGCCAGCACCCAGCACTGTGCCTCGCATGACATAAGTAGAGAGTAGATACTTCTGGAACAGCCAAGCTAAGACAAAGTGAAATATGTAGAATTAGAAATCCATTAGATTGGGGCTGGAGAGATGGCTCAACAGTTAAGAGCACTGGCTGCTCTTGCAGAGGACCCAGATTCAGTTTCCAGCACCCACATGGTGGCTGACAACCATCTGTAACTCCAGTTCTATGGGTATCTAATACCCTCTTTGGACCTCTGTGGGTATTGCACAACATGGATAAACTGACGTACACACAGACAATATACCATACACATAAAATAAAAATAATAACAAAGTTTTTTTTTAAAAAAGTCCGGACATTAGGTTTCAACACCTTTGTTGTATTTCAGGTACTGGCATCGATCCCTAAACCCCAGAAAACTGGTAGAAGTGAAATTTTCTCACTTGAGTAGAAATATGACCTTACAGAGAACAATGAAGCTTTACAGACTTCCAGATGTAAGTAAGAACCATTTGCAGCTCTTTGAAGTTGTAACAACTGAAGCTTTTAATGCAGAAATGAATTATTAGCAGGACTACAAAACTGGATTTATGTCTGGGGAAGGGTGTAACTAAAAGAACAGCATGGGACTCAGGAGCTAGGAAAGAGGGTGAGTTCACTTGGAAATACCAGTTTTGTTTTTTCAAGATTTTTAAAAAATTGTTATTATTTTTATTTTATGTGTATGTGTGTATTGCCTGGATGTAGGTAAGTGCCCCTGTGTCATGCAATGCCCATGGAAGACACAAGAGGCGGTCAGATCCCCTGGAACTGGAGTTATGGACAGTTGTTAGCTGCCATGTGGGTGCTGGGATTCAAACCTTGGTCTTCTGCAAGAACAACCAGTGTTCTTAACTGCTGAGCCATCTCTCCAGCCCCTAAGATTTTTTTTTTAATTTTCTTGAGTTTATAGTTGAATGAGGTTGAATGCAAGTCAAAGAAATTTTGGGATTTTGAGTATTTGTTGCCTGTTAAGGAATAGGGAAGAATATTCAAACTGCCAAATTTCTTTTTTTTTTTCTTCTTTTCTTTTCTTTTCCTCTCTCTCTCCGCCCACCCTCCTCTCTCCTCTCTCTCTCCTCTCTCTCATGTGTTTGATTATTTGAGACAGGGTCTCCCTGTAGTTTCAGCTGGCCTGGCCAGCCTCTGCCCCCACCTCCGAGTGTTGGGATCAAAGGCATGTCACACTCCGCTCCTGATTTCGTAACACCATAGAACCAAATGATTAAGTTTAGAGGAGAAACTCGGAGTGAAAATAGTATTGTATTCAGTTGTTTTCTGTTTTTCTAGTTTATTAATTAATTTTTTATTATGAGACAGGGTCTCACTATGCAGCTCAGGGTGACTTAGAACTTGGTGTCTAGCCCAGGCTGGTCTCAACTCAAGATGTACCATCTGCCTCAGCCTCCCAAATTCTGGGCTTACAGGCATATGCTACCATTCCTGGAAGTTGTCATCTTGTTGTTTTAGAGAGAGGGCGGGGGGGGGGAGGGGAAAGGGGAGAGGGGAGAGAGAGATACATGCATGTTCCTATATGGGATGCACATGTGGGTGGGTGCACATACATGCATGTGTGTGAAGATCAGAGGTTGATGTCAGTTTCTTCCTCTGCCACTCTACTTTATTGAATGAGACAGGGTCTTTCGTTGAACTCGCATTTGGTTGGTCTAGCTAGCGAGCTTGCCCTGGGATTTCTTATCTCTGCCTCCTGAGTACTAAGATTACAAGGGGCCACATACCTAACCGGCTTTTATGTGGGTGCTGGGAATCCAAACTTAAGTTCTCAGGCTTGCACAGCAAGTGCTTTATCCACGAAGCCATCTATCCCAGTCCCCTATCATCTTTTTAAACTATCAGATTCCCAATATGAAAAGTTTTCTTAGTATGAAAATTTTAAATGGACTTTCTAGTGTGGGTTTTGTTAAAGGTTGGATGATATATTGTATATCTCTTGCACTATAGATTGTCACAAATTGAGTGGCTTGAAACAGCATGTTTAAGCCAATCATAGTGGTATATGCCTGCAATCCTAGCACTCAGGAAGCCGAGGCAAGAAGATGAAGAGTTCAAGGCCAGTTTGGGCTATATAAACATAGCCTTTCTCCAAAAGCAAAACAAAACATTTGAACACCATGCATATTTATTCTCACATAGGTTTTGAGAGTCAGGAATCTAGGCACCACCACTTAACTGAGTCCTCTGCTTCTGACTGTCTAGGTGTCAGCTAGGGCTAGGGTTTCATCTCAGACCTGACTGGGGAAGGATCCACTTGCAGGGTCATGAACTTGTTATGAGGATTGACTTCCTTTCTGACTGGTGAATTTAGGGCCTTATTTGCTTGTCAGCTGCCATAGGCTGCCCTCAATTTCTTCCCATAGGATCTTCTCCACAGGGCAGCTCATAGCCATGTAGCTTGGTCACCAAAGCCGATGAGAGGCAGTTTATATGTGCAAGTTAAATGAAAACCAGAACCTTAGGCAATCAAGTCCTAAAAGCGACCTCCAGTCACTACTGCTATGACCAGTAGGAACCAGCCACACAGGCATGGACTCTAGAAGGGAGGATCACTGGAACTGTCTTAGACTCTGAGCTACAGATGTTTTATTCAATGTTTTGCTGTATGTGAGTTGAAATTAAAAGCTTGAGGCATCAATTCCTATATTTTGTTTTGTTTTGTTTTGAAGCCAGGCGCTAATGCTGTTTAGTCTCTCTAGTCTCAGTGTATTGGCCCCAAGCAGTCTAGCTTATGTGTAAGGAAAATACCCACTTATATACAGGTTATATAAATGTAGTGAAGAATAAGGAGTTCTGTTTTCTGTGACTGGGTTCGTTTAGGATAACCACAATTTAAGGTGCCGAAAGTACTTTTGACCTAACTCAGCCTTTATACTTTTTGTATAGAAATTAATCTTCTCAGCTGGAGAGATGGCTCAGTGGCTAAAAGCACTGGTTGCTCTCGCAGAGGACCTAGGTTCAGTTCCCAGCACCCACATGGTTGCTAAGAGCCATCTGTAACTCCAGTTCCAGGGGAATCGAGTGCCCTCTTCTGACCTCTGTGGGCATTGGATGACACGGGTGCATTTACATGCATGCGGGCAATGCACTCGTGCACATGAAATAAAAAAAAAAAATAAATAAAATGTCTTTAAAAATTGGGCTGGAGCTGGGCATGGTGGTGCACATCTTTGATCCCAGCACTCAGAGGCCAGAGATAGGCAAACCTCTGAGGCAGATCTCTGACCAGGCCAGCCTGGTCTACACGAGGTTACAGGGAGACCCTGTCTCAAAAAGACCAAAAAAAAAAAAAAAAGGTTCTAAAGAGATGGTTCAGCTATTAAGAGCACTGACTGCTCTTGCAGAGGACCTGGGTTCAATTCCCAGCACCCACATGGTGACTAACAACCATCTGTAACTCCAATTTCATGGTATCTGACTCACTGTTCTGACCTTCATGGGCGTTACACAATATGGGTGCACTTACCTGCGGGAATGGAAAGGCAATACACTTATACACATAAAAATAATAAAATATTTAAAAAAATTAATCTTCTCATGGATTGCAAATTCTGATGAGTTGGTGCTGTTTCACTGGTCATTCATTGGTTGTGAAAGCAGACTTTGGCATGTTCCTGTCAATAAGCCTGGGTTCCTTTTATAGCAGCCATGTTCTTGAAATGACTGCGTTTTTTTGTTGTTGTTGTTTTTGTTTTTGTTTTTTTAAGTATAGGAAAGGAAAATGAAGAGTAGTTGTTTTAGTTTTATTCTGTTGCTGTGATAAAACACTCTGCCCAGAAACAACTTGTGGAGGAAAGGGTTTATTTGGCTTATACTTCCAGGTCACAGTCCATCATTGAGTCAGGACAGGAACCATGGAGGAATGGTGTTTACTACCTCACTGTCTGGCTCATGCTCAGCTACCTTCCTTACATAGTCCAGGCCCACCTCCCTAGAAGTGGTGCTGCCCACAGTGGGCTTGGACCCTCCCACATCAATCAGTAATCATAGATATGGCCATAGGCCAGTATGATCTGGGAAATTTCTCAGTTGAGGTACCTTCTTCTCAGGTGACTTTAGATTATATAAAGTTGATAATAAAAACTAAGCAGCACAGTATTTGATGGAAAAAAAAAAGAGGGAAGAGATGAAAGTACAGATAATGGAAAATTGAAAAGATGCCGATAGCAGTCACTTCTTTAAAGATAAATGGATGGTACCTGTGCTGGATTGTTTCAGTGTCAACTTGACACACCTGGGTTGAGGGAGCCTCAATTGGGGAGTTACGTCTATTGGACTGGCCTGTGGCCATGTCTGAGGGGCATCTTCTTGATTGTTGAGTGATGTGAGAGGGCCCAGCCCACTGTGGGTGGTGCCACCCCTGGGCAGGTGGGCCTATGTTGCATAAGAAAGAAGGCTGAGCAGGGGCCAAGGAGCAAGCCAGTAAGCAGAGATCCTCCATGGCCTGTGCTCCAGCTTCTGCCTCCAGGTTCCTGCCCTGAGTTCCTACCTTAGGCTCCCAGATGAACTGTGACCCGGGATATGTAAGCTAAATAAACCCTTTCCTCCCCAAGTTGGTAGTGGTCAGAATATTTTGTCACAGCAATAAAGAGACAAACTAAGACATTACCACTGCTAGCAATCAAGCCACTTAAGAATCTCTTTGTACCATTCAGCATAAAAAGAACCTTTGGAATATATCTTTTGCTCTGTGACTTGTCTCATTTTTCTGATTCTTTGTCTTAGAGTCCTTGCTTTTATGTCTTATGCTTGGACTTAGGAATCTAAAAGTTAGCATTTATTAGGACCAACATTGTGCCAGACAGTGACCATCCATAATCTCATGTACTAGCATCAGAAGTCACAGGAGGGCTGGTTGTTATCCCTATCACAAAAGAGAACAAGATTGATGTGAAGTCTGCTGTACAGGAGTAAGCTGGCCCCCTCTCACACCCTTAGCTGCTATGCCCTAAATGCTAGGCTTTCCAAAGAACTGCATCTTCCCAGACCCTTCCTACCCTTCAAACACACCCTTCAGTGTGTTTGATTTTAAATATGAAGTTTCAAAAGTTGGAGAGAGAGAGAGAGAGAGAGAGAGAGAGAGAGAGATAGAGAGAGAGACCTTAAAGGTATGGGAATTTGTAGTAGATAAAAAGCAGGAGGCAGGCAGAAACAGGTAGATCTCTGTGAGTTCAAGGCCAGCCTGGTCTACATAATAAGTTCCAGGCCAGCTGGGGCAACAGGGAGATCCTGTCTCAAAAGGACCAAAAAAAAGCAGGAGTCAGTGATAAGAGCAGGTACTGTTCTTGCAGAGGACCGAGTTTAGTTAATCAGCCAACCAGTCCTCGCTTTGTGCTATAAGGATAGTTACAGCATGTTCTGTATTTAGTAGCACTAGATGATTTTTTTGTGTGTTTAGTGCCATCTGCTCCTTCTTAAAATCCATAAATAACCATAATCATTG